AGGGACCACAGCCCAGGGCCAGCAGTCAGACACGGGGCAGAAGACCTCATCGCAGAACTAGAGCAGGACTGTATTCGACAGCGCTCCCACAGACACCACACTGTGTGATGTGGTCAAGCACGTGCTGGTGTGTGCTGTTGTAGTGGGACTGAAGCTGTTGTATGATTGTGTGCAGTTGTGCTGCTGTGTGTGATGATGGTAGAGACCAGGGCTGCTTGAGCTCTGTCACTTCTCCAACATCACAGACGTTTCCTACAGCCATGCCTTTAATTAGTTGATAATAGTTAGGGTCGATTTAGCAATCAAAAGAGCTGTAATTTTGATAATTGTGCTCGCAGTAGAGTGCCCGCTTTTAAAGCACTGAAGTTCTGGTCTGAATCTTCTTGTCAGAAGAATGAGAACTTGTTGACTTTAACCTGACTCATACGAAATTACAATCACCAACAGAAATAAAATTCTCAAAGCATGACAAAACACATTTTATGTTTTTTATAAACTGATCCAGATTCCAAATAAAAAAACGGTTGAATCAAAAGCCTGGATGTGAAGCCCTGGGGCTGGAGCGGATCAGAGCACACAGAGCACAGCTGGATTCACTCTGGCAGGAACAGGGCTGGAGCGCATCAGGACAGCTGGACTTCTGCAACCCTGCCAGGAGACCAGTGGACACAGCCAACCAGACTGCCACAGAAGAGCTTCTTCATACTGAAGCAGAACCGATGAAGACCTCAGACAGACATGTCTACCCAAACACCTATCCCGCAGCTTTCACAGAGATATTCAGGAAAACTGCCAACAATAGAATTAAAGAGTGTAGATTAGGAGCTTAAATGGCTCAAAATCAATTTCCAGCAATATTTGTAACTGAAAGGAGTATCTATATAACAGACTGAGTGTTTCAAGGTTTATATTAATCCTCCTAGAGTCCAGTAGCTCTTTTCAGTCTGGCTACAGCCTAAAGCAGGACTGCTAACAGGCGCGGGCAAACACTTTCATTCCTTAGCTGGCAAAGCTTCTACCTCACAAACGACAGGAACACTCCTCACCATTGAACCCTGCCCTGTCATTACTCACACGAGTGACACACACCTGTTATCAAGTCAGCTGTACGCAGAACTGACAGGGAGAAAACTGACAGACCTGACTGCATCTTCACGGTAAAGTGGCCCTGCTTAATGAAAGCAGACAGAGAAAAGGAACCTGCTGGAAAAATGAGCTCCTCACAGGTGTTCATTGAGTGTGGATGAAGAGGCTGCAGTGAGTCGCTGTGCAGCAGCAGTGCTTGCTGCCGGCGCTGTGGTGATGAAACACACTGGTCTCCCTCACTCCTGCAGCTCCTTACTGATCCTACAGCAGCTTCAGCCACCAGGTCTGTCTGTCTGGACTGGGGCTGAGCACATTCCTGCAGGCAGTGTGTATGTGGGGAGGCGACTGCACACATGTAGGAGTGTCAGTGAGGGGGACAGTGAGATGTCTGTAGATTTTATTTTACTTCTATTTTTTGTTTTGTTCTATGTTAATTTTATTATTTTTATTTGCTTTGGCAACACTGATTGTACCCATCGGTCATGCTAATAAAGCACCTTGAATTGAATTGAATTGAGTCAGAACCTGCATGTGCTCTGCACTGTGAGAAACTGGCCCCCGCGTGTCAGAGGGCTGACCGCTGGGCAGATCTGAGCCCACAGCGATCTCACTCTCCCCTAGGGGCTGCAGGTGGTGCTCCTGGCTCTGACTCCACAACAGCAGGGCTTCTACCCACATAGAGAGGGAGAGAGAGACGGGGGGGATGAGAGAGGAGGAAGGTGTCACACAGAGACAGGGAAAGAGAGAGAAGGAAGAGGGAGAATGAACCTTATAAATCGAATTGGCTTTTGGATCTTGTCGAGACAAAAGAAACACCAATTCTAACGAGTGGCGAGGCCTCACAGACAGAATGGAGAGAAGGGAGGAGAGGGAGCCGGAGAGAGTGAGACAGGGACAGGTACAGAGAGACCACAAACCTACAGCCATGGTTCACCCACACACTTTATTGTTAAATAATCCAGGAGAGGTGCTCTGCTCAGACACACAGTGCAGACAGGACACCCCGAGGAGAGTGGGGGACCAGCGGAGACCAAGAACAGCGCCTCCTTCAGTCCCTCGGCGGCATTGCGCTACTGCTCCTGAAAGAGAGAGAGAGAGAGACAGGGAGCACTGTCCCGTCAGACGAGGAGACAAGCACCCCTACTTTGCTTCCTGCACCCCTCAAGCCGAAACCCATCCCAGCTGCTTCACTGCGCACTTGCAGGCGGATGAGAGAGAGACGGAGAGGCGGGAGTCCCCACACGGACCTTGACGAAGCGGCCGTGCAGCAGGTAGGGAGCCTGGAAGTCGTGCTGGCAGTTGGAGTACGCCATTCCCAGCCCGGCCCCGGCGCCGAACGCAACGGGCCAGGTCCGCCCTGCAGTGGGGAGACACACATCCGCTCAGCGCCAGCACAAGGCCTCCGACCGACACCGGCAAGAGCCAGAGACGGGGGTAGAGAGGGATTTAGTACTCACGTTTGAAGAAGATGACTGAAAACACGATCCCCAGCCCGAGGCCGGCCCCTGGGGGAGGGAGGGGAGACAGAGTCAGAACCAGTGGAATAAAACCGCACCAGGCCCAGGCCGACAGCCTCTCGAGCACTCAGAGCCAGACCCCAACACCAGCCAGCCTGTGCTAATGAGCTGGAATGTGCAGAACGGGGGGGTGCACCATGACCTCTGACCCCCCGCAGTGGTAAACAGCACCTGCCAGGCAGACAGGGGCTCATTAACACCTCGAAACCCCGGCCGACCCCCACAAGACGGGGGGGCAGCCTAATTACCGCAGCACGTCCTGCTCAGCTCTGTCCCTCCGGCTTCAACAGCTGCTTCTCGAGCCGGAGACTGGTTACAGCACTGACCTGCTCTAAAACAACCGGCCGCTTACACACCGGGTGGACACACAGCGGTGTCACTTTTAAACGCCACCCAGAGCTTCCCAACTTTATTACTCTGGAAATCATTTTAATGGTGATTTGGAAACAACACCTCGAACATGATTAAACCTGTCCGTATACAACTTCCAAGATGAAGTCAAAGCCTGGAG